CCCCCCTTTGTAGGGTCGTTGGGTCCCATGACTCTGTCACCCAAGACACTTAGCTGTAAGAACAATGCATCAAAGTACGATGGGACCGGCAAATCGAAGTGACCAGGCACATCGCTGTTGAACCAAGGCCGTTTGCTGCTATGGTCCTGCATTCAGTCCAGCTGATGGTGTGATGGCAAATCTGAAAAACGTCTTAATTTATCATAGAAATTGTATCTTTTTGCAGAACTCTGATTCGAAACATCGATCCTGAAAAGGTGCCCCGCAACAGATCTGAAATTGCGAAGGCTAAGCCTAAGTTAAGGCTCTATGAGGGGTGATGAAATCTCATTAGAAATTTACAAGTCCATGGGGGCATTCCGATGTAAAGAAGAACCTCTGTGAAATGTGGTGCTTCCAAGTGGTTGTTATGCGAGTTGAGTCACACGGTCGTACAACACAAACCTGCCCCTTCCACTTGGTCAAAAGATGGAGGCATGGCTGAGAAGCAATACATTCTCTGGCTGGACAGGTCTTTCTCTTAGTATTAGGGTCAGCATGTGGCTGCGACTTATCGCAGATAGGACTTGCAAATCTGGTCAAAGATCGGACACACTCTCTCTTTCCCCCTCTCTCTTTCTCTCTCTCTCTCTCTCTCGTCTGCGTTGAATAACGATGGCCACGTGATTTAGGCCCGCATGCTTGCGCCTGGATACTTGTGTTCCAATGGGCAAGCACGCTTTGCGATTCAAAGGCTTTTCAAGGCCAACGGGAAAATCTCCGCCAGGCCATCACAACTGTATTGAGGATTCCTTCTCCCAAACTCTCAATATGCCATGTTGTAAACCAACATAGGTTCCTGATGCTTGCTCACTCAGAATTGCTGTACATTCATCGTTGGTAGACGCCAGGAAAGCTTGTCACGTACCTGATCTTGACATCGGGAAAGCTGGATACGAACTGGACCGTGAAATCAGGGAAGTTCTCAACAATCTGCCATTCACCACATCGATCGGGAAAGTGCGATACCTTCTTGACCTCCAGGTCTGGAAAGCTGTCAACAAGCTTCACCTTGATGTCCGGGAAGTGCGACACCACCTTGACCTAAGCCATGACCGAGATCACGGCCGACGAAGCACACCTGCATGGCTCCAAATGACGTCGGTTGGTGCACGCGATCATGTGAAGCACGTGTCGAATCATGTCTGACGGAGCAGGGCTGATGCTGCCTAGGTGGTGGTTTTACCTCGATCCCCAACAGAAAAGAGCTCCTACCATGATTAACTTATATAAAAAGACTGGGCCAGGCAAGGCTTCAAGTATTGTGGTGCAAACAGTTTTCTTTCTAAGAAAACGCAAGTGTTCAACCTTCAATCCCTCAAGCCGCGCCTTGCCAGCAAGGAAAATACCATGAAAGTAGCAGCTGGCGCGGTTGGCCCGCAGTTGCAAGGCTTCAAGCGAGCAAGTCTTGGCACCTGTTTGTTGCACGAAGAACGTGAGGCACATGTTTTTGTTGCATGTTTTGCTCCACATTGGGCAGCTGAGCCAGCACTTTCATGGTTCTTTTCAGCCAACTTTCAGCCTGGTCCTCAAACGACCAGCACGTTTGGGGG